AAAATAATCTTAAATCTCTACACTCGAATGAAATCTTTCAATTAGGCTACAGACAGGGTGTCACCAATCTGAAAACACAAGCTCACGTTTCGCTTCCAACTTTCAATATCTAAAATTCTTCCAATTTAATAATTTCAATAGAACATCCAAGCTAATTTGTAAATTTGTTTATTTTTAATTAATAATCGTTACAGTTTGATTATGTTATTATTAAAATTAAAATCATTAAAACATTTTACAATAGCATCAGGCTTTAAAACTACTGCTACCACTCCTAAAACTGCCTAAGATAAAAACGAACTTATTATTATTATTATTGTATCATCAATATTATTATCATTTATAATCATTTATTATTGTTTTCATTATTTTTGTTCTTTTATTGCAAAGGCAGACTGACAGCTGAGTAGAAAGCTACTCCTTTAGGATGCATGCATGTAGAAATAGATGCCGCCTAATTAACTGACTGGCGAAGCATAAACTTCTACAACATGTTTCTTAATTGTTGGACATATACGAACACGTACATGTATACACGCACATATACACGCAAACACACACGCATACATACACACACACACACACACACAAGCATACACTTTCATATTCACACACAAACGCACGCACAAAAACACAGACCTTCAAAATCACAGTATGCAAACATTCACTAATTTTTATTTACAAACTAATAAATGGGTGAACATGATGAATGTTATATAAATATAAATATTAAAACATGTATTTATGAGAGTCTCTGTATGTGTGTGTGTTTGTGCGTGTGTGCGTGTGTGTGTGTGTTTGTGTGCGTATGACAAATATTTTGTAATCGAAGATGAATGAACTGAAGACTTTGAGTAAACATAAGGGATGTTTTGTATTATAACATTATGATACCATGAATTGAATATGTCTGTGGAAGAGGTTGAGGAAGAAAATAATTAAAGAAAAAAAAATAGAAAATAAAAAAGTGTGTTTTAGACAATGAAAGCAAGATTTAAAATAATTTTTTTTTAAAACGTATAAGCGAAAAATTACACCAAACAACAAAAAAGCACTAGAAAAAAACAACTAAACAATTCAATTAAACCTGTGAATGAATTAACAAATGGAAAAAACGTTAAAAAATCCAAATGAGTGAACGAAGAAATGAATAAACTTCAGTTGAATAGTAGCAGGTGCATTATAGACTTAAAGAAAAAACGTATTAGCTTCAGTGGAAACTAAGAAAAACCATTCAAAGAACGAATTTACTTGGAAAACTTTTTATAGAAAGAAAAAAAAATTTCTCGGTAATGTTTTACTCGAATTTTTTAGTGTAAAATTGCACTAAACAACAAAAAAATCTGAACAGACAGAATGACAAAATTAAAAAAGAAACAAAACAAATTAATCTTTTAATTATTTCGTAGTTTCAAGCCATTGCTGTGGTATTGTTTTTATATCGCTGATAATTATTTTTTTTTCAAACTAACAACATATAAAATGGTACCAAAAACTAATTTTAACTAACATGGCGAACGATCAATTTCCGGTAGAAGTTTAAGAAGATCGGTTTATGATAATTGTTATTATCATATCACCATTTTCATTCTTGACTATCATCATCATCATCTTTATCATCATCATCATCATCTTTATCATCATCATCATCATGGTTATCATCATCAGTTTGACTATGTAATTATCATCATTATTACCATCATCGTCATCATCCTCATAATCCTTTAGCGGTCATCGTCATCATCATTAGCGTCATCATTATTATCATCATTTTAATTATGCGGTCATCATCTGCATTACCATCACCACCATCATCATTTTCTTTTCGCGATCATCATCATTTTCTTTTCGCGGTCGTCATCACCGTCATCATCATCATTATAATCACTTAGCTCGGCGGCTGACTTATGAGAAAGTTTTGCCGCCATATAAATCACCTAACTAATAGCCGCATGACCGTTTGCACCTCAACATGTAATGACCCATTTGTTGCCATAACGACGCTAGCTATGATAATGACGGTGATGACCATGCTGATGGTGAAGATGATGATGAAGAGGATGATGAAAATGATGATGATGATGATGAAGAGGATGAGAAAGATGATGATGAAGAGGATGGAGAAGATGATGATGAAGATGATGAGGTAGGTAGATGATGATGACTAAGATGAAAATGACTAAGATAATGAAGAAGATGAAGATGATGAAAATGATTTTGATGGTGTTAGTGGTGATTATGGCGGTGATGCTGGCATAATGATACTGACTGATGAGGATGATGATGATGGTGATGGTGATGATGATGGTGATGGTGATGATGATGGTGATTACGACGCAAAACGTAACGACGTTGTATTGTTGAAAATATTAATGGTGAATATGATATTAATGGAAGCGATATTAATGCTTCTGTTGTTGTTGATGATGATGATTATGATGATGATGATGATGATGATCACAGTAGTAACGATGGTGCTGCTGATGATGATGTCTATGATGGTTATGACGATGACGATATGCCAGGTGAAAAATATACTTAAAGTATTTCATGAAAGTAAAATAGAACCTAAGAGATGAACAATTGGTAAATGCGATGATAAAAATAATAATGGTAATAATGATAACGAAGCTCTGACGATGATGACGAGATGATGATAGTCAAAAAAACTGTGTTAATGAGTGAGGTAAGTCTGGATGTCACTTGGTGAAGACCATCACTGCAACAAAGCCACTATGCATTATTGTCACTTGATATATTGTTACGAAAACACGGAAAAAATATCATTTATTAAAGTCTTCTAACTACATTATCATCATCGTCATCATTAATATTTCATCCTCATCATCCTTAAGAACTTATAAGTTTATTGATTAGTTTATATAATTTTTATTATGAGAATTTTTTTTAAATTATCTGGGAAAAATTGTGTTTGGCCTGCAATACTTTATATTCATCATCACCATCATCATCATAATTTTCAACAACAATATCATCATTATCATCGTCGTCGTCGTCGTCACCATCCTCACGAACAAAAAACCATTGTTATCCTCATCATCTTTTTCCTTTTCCTCCCCATCATCATCCTCATCTGCACTGCTATCATCATTAATATCACCGCTATTGTTACACGGTCATCGTCTTCGTCATCGTCGTCGTCAAAAATGTAATATACCAAAACGCAAGAATATCATCATCGTCTTAATCGATCGCTGCATAAACAACTCCTGCTATCATTATTCGGACGATGACGATGACGATGATGTTGGTACAAGTGATGCCACCAGCAGTGCAGATGATGATAAGATGGTGATAAAAATGAAGATGTTGGTGGTATTATAATGACGCTAGCAGTGCTGCTGCTGATGATGATAAAGATGACGATGACGACAAAGATGAAAATGGTGATGAAGATGGCGATGAGTAAACGATGAAAACATTTTTTAACAACAATTCATTCAATAGCCGATACGACGTGGTGGTTATTATGACGATAAAGTAAATAATGGTAACAATATGATGATGACATCTAATCTTACTCGTCATTATCACGCCTTTATCATTATGAACATGTTTTAATGCTACTGCCAGATCAATGTTATATTTTCAGAAGTCAAGCAAATCATTATATTTTTCACAATTCCTCCATAAACAATCGTATTATACACATCATACACACACACGCACACACACACACGCACACGCACACGCACATGTTTACACGTATTTCTTAAACTCACGGATATTTCCGACACGTAAGCGCAGATCGATATTAAAAAAACAATTTATTGTTTGCGAAACGACCCAAAATTTAAATATCAATACGCATTTATTCTCTCGCGCAAGACGAATACAAACGCAAACACAAACATCTGCATATTTGCGCATGCACACGTGTTTACACAGACACACACACACACGTTTATGTACGTTCACACACACGCACACATACAGACATGTAGAAACATATTCACACTTACATACACACTTACTCACAATTCATAAGTATTGCGAGTTAATGTGTAATATTGTTGTAAGACTTCTCCAGATGGAACATATTTTTTTTGTACTACATGTATGTTTGCAGTACGTACTTGCACGTGCATGTAAATGGATAACTAACTGTAGATCATCAGAGTAGTTCAACAACCAGCATTACGCATTATCAAAACCAGGATTCTTCAAATTCATTTTTAGTTATGCCAAATTTCTGGCAATATCAATTTTTAAATTATTCCAAAAGTTATAAAATAAACACTAACATGTTGTTTATAGACAAAAACGCACACGACACTCACACACACATAATTACTAGTCGAGTACATACACTCACAGAGAAGTACACATGCAGTCAAATATACACACAAAAACATACTGACAGGCAGACAGACAAAACATACTGACATACACACACACACACAGACAAAACCAAAACATACTGATACACACACAGACAGACAAAGACATACTGACTCACACACACACAGACAGAAAAAAAACATACCGATACACACGCGCACACACTGACAGACAAAGACATACTGAGTCACACACACACAGACACACACACACAGACACACAGACATATTCACACACGCACGCACGCACATTTTCACGCACGTACGCTGATTGGATCGTTAGCGAGATGTCGTTAGTTTTTTTTTATCCCATAATGAGTTGGCATTTGGTGGCAACAACAATATTGTTGGCCGATTGTGGATCGGTGCTTTTTTGTATCTCATGTGAGATGATGATGGTGAGGAGGAGGAGGAGGATGATGGTGATGATGATGGTGATGATGATGAGGGTTAAGGATGATGATCGTGTGGTGATGCTGATGGTAATAATGATGATCATGGAAACAATGAAAAGGTAAAATAATAAAATGGCTATGTCCTTAAGTTTCTTAATACTGTTTTTAAGCGTCGATTATTGCAATTTCTGTGCTTGTCAGGTTTTGAATCTTTTGCTAACGTACCACAGTTGAACGCAAAATATTAGTAGATTATATTTTGAAAACTGATGGCGAAGCTGTCAACATCCAGGCTGTCCTCAAGACACTTCAGTTCCATATGGAAAAATACATAGGCTTCAGCCCAATGCGATGACGATTTGGACAGTTTTATTCCAGGAAATGGTTTTGGAGTAGTTGTTGGAGTTGACGTGTGTTGGAATGTTGTTGGATTGTTGTCCTCGCTGTTGTTTGGTTCCACCTCGGACTTCCTGGACTTGAGAGATTTGTAAACTTTACATACTCTTTGATGCATTGACAGTCCTTTCCGATCTTTGCAAGGTTTGCCGCAACAAAAAGTCAGCCGGTTATTTGGATTATCAAGTAAAATATTATTATTATTTGTTTTTAAATTTGGAGAAATGTTTAACGTTATTGTTCGGTGAACTATTTTTGTTAGAGTTAAAAGGAACAGAGCTAGCTGTACAACACCTCTCCAGAAGTGACTATTTAGAAACTTTAACCCAAAAACTGCAATGCGAGCACATTGTTGCGTTTACAGAGATTAAAATTAAACCAATAAAACCATTAAACTTAAAATATTTGATAAAACCTAATTTTAAAAACACAGTCATTTTCCCCTATAAATTATCCTACAATTTGATGTAGAATTCAAATATATATAAAACATCAATAAAACTCATATTGCTAAAATAAACAGTCAGTTATGCAAAGTGACTCTCTTGTTCAAAAACCATGCAATAATACTAATAATAATAATAATTTAAATAATAATTTAAATAATAATAATAATAATAATAATTTAAATAATACGAATAGACATTTATTAAAAATATTATTATAAAAAAAATTGATAACAGTTTCAAAAAACTGCGGTTAGGCACTTTTTGCTACAAGTTTTTTTTGTGGCCAATTTTCTCAATGCAAATTTGGGCGATTTTTACTGCCTTACGAATCATATAGGTCAGTAGGTTTTGCTTTTATTATTTTTATATAATTTATTGTTATTATTATTTTTATTATTATAGTTTATTATTATTGTTATTATCATTAAAACTATTACTGTATTATTTCGTTATCATAATTTTTATTAACGTTGAAAATTTTGGAAAAATATTTACCAAAACTTGACAGAATATAATCGGTGATATTTTAGGATTTAATTTCATCTAATTTTTTTTCAAATAAGATCTCAACCACTTGTGTTATTATTATGATAACAATAATAAGAATAGTAGAAATAATACAATAGTAACAATAATTATGTTAATGTAATTGTTGTTATTATTACTATGAGGGAGAGTTTATAGTAGCACATCAGCTAAATCAAAGGTAACAGATGTAACGTTTGGATTGGATCAAATATTTATGGTTGCAGTAAAATACAAGGTATACATCAACAGCTTAACACAATAACAATAACTTTAACAACAACAAAACAACAACAATAGCATTAACTATAACAACAACAACAAAAATATCAACACAAACAAAAAACATTAACATAATGACATCAATATTAACAGGAAAATCAAAACATCAACAAAACTAATAACGACGTCAAAGCTTTGTAATTTCACAATAAAATTATAAGCAGGCAACAAACCAACAACAACAACAACAACAACAAAATATCGAAATGGAAAAATATCTCAATTTTTATTCAAGAAAAAAATCATATATTTTCTAGAAAATTTATTTGAAAAAATGCTTGTGACGTTAGTGTAGAAAAATGTGAATTGGGAAAAACAATATAATTATTTTTTTTTTCTTCCTCAAACTAACGAACAAAACATTCCAACGCAATGTCTCGATTCATCACTTGACAACAACAACATCGGGGATCAACAACAACAACAACAATAACAATAACACAATAAAAACAACACAAATAACAACATTTTAAACCCATAACGTCAAGTTCAGCAATAACATATGCCAGAAAAGAAAACATTCCCGAAATTACATTAACAACAATAACAACAAAGACGACAAAGTGAACTCAATAGATTATGACGTTACAAAATCAAAAAAATATTTTATCAAAATTTTAAAAACAGCAACATCATTGATGACATCACATAAAAAAGCAAAAAAAAAACAATGCTGTGAATACGATTCAAAAACAACAACAACAGCAACTACAACAACAAACTGAAAATATGACGCACACCTAAATACAGCCTTACAACAACATCAACAACATCAACAACATTACAGCAACGCTAATAACATTAAAAAAAACATTACAACAAGATTACAGTAACGTTATTACAACACACCAGTGTTAAACCGTCTTGTTATGCCCTATCTACTTGATCCACACTAAATCTCATCAGATTCTCGTAAACGATGATTGACGCCTTAATTAACTAGCTCCATCATATTGTTTGTTATCATCTTCTTCATCATCGTCTTTATCACTTTATCTATCATATCTCCACCATCTACATCGCTAGATTTGGCCATTTCTTATTATCAACATTTGAGTCATTTTAATATCTCACCTAATTATCATCGGCATCAACATTTTGTTCCTTAATTTCATCATCGTCATCATCTGTTATCATTAATATTGCCGCAAGAACCTTAATAGTCAATATTATTCTTATCATCTGTTATCATTTTTGTCTCCATTTTTGTCACCATCATCTTCCTAGACTTATTTCATCCAACTTTACTTTCATTATCATCTTCACCATGTTTCATTCATCATTCTCACCAGCCACAAACACATCGCACTGAGATTATTCTTGTTAGCGTCATTACATTTTAGTCCATCGCTGGGATATTGTTGGTCTTCCACAAAAGAAGATTAATTGTTTTTCAATTAGCTTTTTTCTATGGCTCATTATTTTAAAATTTTCAATTGCTCCATAATTCTTTCTTAATCTTATCTATCAATATGTATGTTGTCTTTGTTTGTTGTTTTGAAAGTGTTGATGGTGTTGTTTGTTGTATGGTGGTGTTTTTGTGTTTTTTTTAATGAGATAATGACTCAAATTAAAAACAAAATCACTTGTTTTGAAATGATTTTAAATTTGAAATACGGAAAAAGGAATAAAATCATGATTTTAAATAATTTCATTTCAAATCGTCCCTAACACTGGCTATTTATAATTGCCGTGAATTATAATTAAAAAGAGAGCTCACCAGCTCATTAGATAGCAGACAAAAATAGCTAGCTGATCGAAGCTAATTCTATAAGAGCTGAACTTAGCTGACTACAGCGTCTAGCAGTCTAATTGAACCGCTCTTATCAGCACGCAATGATTGCACATCAATCAAGCAGAGTTGCGATGTTTATCAGGATAATTGCCTTCCGCACTGATAGTCTCTTGATGCAAAATGCAAATGTCGGAAGATTACATACTTGCGCGTGGTGGAGGCTACTTCTGCTACCACTCATGAAGTTGCGGTTGGGGTAGGAGTTGCTGCTAGTGTTGTTTTTGTGGTTGTTGTCGCTGTTTTCATAGCTGCCACTGCTGTTATTTGGAATGATTATGATGATTGTTGTGTAGATGATTAAATTGATAATAATGTGGGAGACGATGAAGAACATGCATAAGTGGTGTGAACCACAGAATCTTGGATGATAACAATGATGATGCTACTGATAACGATGACAGAACGGTCGAAATAAATGGTAACAAATGATGTTGATGATAAGTTATAAGACGCTGTGAAACTTTCGCGATGGGGAAAGTTTTAAAATTAAATTCTGCTATTTGTTCGCATTACATATTCTGTATTAGCTAAGCAATCGTGCACTTAAATTTTATTTTGAGTCTACATACTTCAATCATGAAATCATATTTCAATCATTATTTATTAATTATTTAATGTTACACAAATATTTTAATAAAAATATCTTTTAGCATCACGGATATACTTAAAACAAATAGTTGCTAAAAAATACTAATTTATGGATATAATCACACCTATTGGCATGATCAGATTGAATCAAGTCGTTTGAAACATGATTTTAGCACTAATTCTAACTTATTTTTCTCAAAAACTAAACCAACACTAAATAATCGGCATCAATCATTCTAAACCATTGACTCTTGCAAAATTTTATAACAATATTCAAACAAGAAAGAAATTAAACTTATGGTCAAAGGTTACTTACGAATGGGGATGCATTATTCAGCTCAACGGAAGAGACGGATGAGTTGATGAATAAGCTGGAAATTATTAATTTATTAGGAAGATTGAACGCGGAAACAGCTTTCAGTTCCTGCTCTGGAAATAGTTACTAAACTGTTTCGACAGTTTTTTAGAGTATGCTAAATCTTGAAGTTATTCTTTTAGCAAAAAAATGATGAAATCGCTAGATATGTTTAAGACAAGACAAACAAACAAACAAACAAACAAACAAACAAACCATAAGACATAAAAAACACGTAAAAACAACACAGGTCGGTAGTAATATACATTAAGGTAAGAACATAAACATGTATGCTTATAAAGATGCTAGGCTTATATATACATAAACCAAAACTAAACAAACATGCACACGTACATACAAAGACACACAACACACAACTGCATATATCAGCATTTATAAACACACAATGACAGCTATATATACTCATACACATAAACCTGCCAAAACTATTATCAGCTTTTATTCATGCATGTATACATACAAATAACTAAACAGACATACAAACACTAACATGAACGCACACACACACACAAGCCATAACACTAAAACATATAGAGATATACACTCTCAAGCACACGTCCACACATACAGACATACAACAACAGATATGAATAAAAAATACATTCGTGCATGTCAAACACACTGTGCATATATAAAAATAAACAAAACCCCACATAGAACTTAAATATTGAAATATAAAAATATACAAACATATAAGCATAATTATTTATACAAAAAATACAGTGATACAAACACCGTAAAATAATCAGCATTTTGTTCACAGTCCAACATTTTTCACATTGCATATTTGAGAGCAAAAGATGGTGCGTGAAAACTTATCTACAGACTCCTGCAAGAAATCTGTGCTGATAATTGAAAAATACTAATAAGTGAATCACTGAAAAAATTAAAACGGTAAAAAAATCGATAGGTGACTGTATGCATATGAAACAAAAAATGGAAAATGTGAGAAAATAACATCAAAAGATTTCATGATAAAATTTATCGAGATATATAAGACTATCTAATTCTAACGTAACATCTGTGAAATAAAACAATTTGGTCGGCAACTCAGCTCAACATGCCAAGCCATCCAGGCAGAACATGAAATTTTCAAATCTCACTCTCTAGAAACAAAAACTAAGTTGGGCCATTGCTAGTTTTTTTTTCACAAATTATAATGATGTAAATTTTATACTTGTTCCTTTAACTTTAAAAAACTTTTCAAACTTTCAAAACATTTTTTCAAAATTGTTTATTTTTCGTATTACAAAAACAATTTTGAATTACTTATCTTTGAAATTTTGTCTTATTCATGTTTTTCATTTTTATTAACACAGAAAAAACTAGACTCGATAATTCGCTTTCAAATTTCAAATTCAGACTCAGACTAAAATAAAATTAAAAAAAAAATGCATCTTGATAAAAATTTATGCGGTCATCACTCAACGATAAATTTTGGCGCGAAAAGCTTCCCGCCATTTTGCGTGCAGATGAATTCATTCGCTCAGCGTATCTCAGCCATCAATCGATTAAATCACGCCTTGGTGCGTTTCGTTTTCGCAATCGTGAATCTAAAATTAAATTTTATTTCTAGCAATGATATAGTTAATACTTTATTAACCTTTTATTGTACAAAAATGCATTCAACAATAATATCCATCCTCAGTGGAATGCTACTGAAATTTTTACATTGAAATATTTAGCAACATTTTTGTGCAGTTGAGTTTGTGACATTGTTAAACTGATGTCAAATTGTTATGTAGATGATAATATTTGGGTTAGGTGGTATAAGTTAATATAGGTTGTATATAGATATGTGTTAAAGTAGGTGTGTAATTATAATGATAGTTAAGTTATAAAAGCAGTTAACGACGAGACAGCAAATTTACAGAATAAAGCAGTTTAATATAAGATAATATAGCGTATAATTAATCAGAGCATATAATACTTTGTATAATAAGGATGAGGTAACATACAACAGGGACTGACTGGTAAGAAGGAGTTAGACAACTAGTTAAACTTTTAAGAGCATGGTCTTCTGGTATATAATAGGCGAGCACATGAGTTAGAGTTAAGAGTTATATGGTTATCTGAGTTATCTCTGAAACACTTTTAAGACTTAACATACTCTAACACATTTGAACACTCTTTAACAAGTTTTACATTATTTATATTAGCGTTATTCTATTTTAAAATTAAAGTTTTGTTATAATATTAAACAATAAAAAGATATTATTAAAAATAATGGGTGAGTCGTTTCTCGTTCGATTTTGATTATTAAACTTTATAACATTTTAAACACAAACTAATACTCAACACACTCAAGCCGTTAATTAAAGCCATCTTTCATTATTTTATGTACATGAACAATTTCGAGTTATTTGACGTTGAGCGAGCGAGTTTACAGAAACAGAAAGAATTTCTCCAACAACAAACAATGTTGTTCGTTCAATCACCGCACTTGCATTGTAAAAATTGTAAATAAATTAATAAATAAATATATCTGATCAGTAGCAATGAAATACACAAATTACGCAAACATAAAAACATTCGAGTACACTTACACGAACACTAACAGCCAGATGTAAAACGATCTCAAAAACGTAAAACACAACTTATAATCTTCATAAAAACTAAGCCAAAGAGGCAAACAAATTGAAAAGTGACCTCACGTACATACCAATGACTGCAGTATATATCCATATTCACTCAAAAAGGGCAGGTAAAAAAGACAGCACGTTGTCGTCTGCTTGCTTTCTACTTTTCCCGCCCTTTTAATTTATCTGCGTCTTCTGTTGCTTCGTCGACTGCCGTGTCGCCGTCGTCGTCGAGTTTTTTATTTCATCCGTGCTGCGACGTGAGTGTCAAATAAATAACAGACCTTAACGTGTGTCGTATGGCGAGTCGTATGTTTGTGGTTTGTGGCGTGTGTGTGTTTGTGTGTGGTTTGAGGCATGTGTGTGTGTTTGTGTGTGTGTATGGTTTGATACATGTGTGTGGTTTGAGGCGTGTGTGTGGTTTGTGGCTAGTGTGTGTGTGTGTGTGTGTGTGTGTGTGTGTGTTGGTTTGTTGTTGTTCATGTGTGTGAATCTGTGTGAAGGATGTTGACGTCTTAGAGTTCAATACATGTTGAATATACATATGGCCTAAGAGGAACTCATCAAAAAGATTGAAAAATTATTTTAGTAATTCAGACAACAATGACAAATTTAACATTAACTTCAACTAAAATGCCCATGACCACAACAACACAACAACAAAAACATTAGCAGTCCTTACAATTTTCCAACGGCAGTTGTGGCAACGTAATCTGCATCAATCAATCACATTCTAGTCAATATAAACGTTCTACACTTTGTGCGGGTATGGCAAATTTTACTCCAACAATTTATTGTTTTTATTTTTAGCTCTATATGTAGAATATATTGTTAGTATTCATACTAATTAGAGCACCTTTTTTTCGATTTGTTAAAATAGAATAAAATGTAAGTATGCCTTATAAAAGATAATAATTTTTAAACTGTTACAGAATAATAAAACGGTATCAACGAAAACTTAACTAATCGAAAACTAAAAAAAAATGTTTTCATTATCACCAGAATCACCATCATCATCTTCGTTATCATCATCTTCATCATAATAATCATAATCACAACATAATCATCACCACCATCTTCTTTTTCATCGTCATCATCATCATCATCATCATTATCATCATCATAATCAGGAACAACGTTATCATCAGTATCATCATCATAATCATTATCGCTATATACTTCTACGCCCCATTTCATGCAGATGATGTTTTATACTCACTGTACATCATACACCCAATTTACAGTAACCGTGCAAAAAGTACGGACCATATCATCTGCTCGTCTTATACAGTATGTATGTTTCGAATTAAGAGTTTAATTTTCATAGTTTTAATAGCAATTTTATGGATTAAAATGATTAAATTTATTTATTAGACTATAATGGTTGAGATTGAGAGGTTTGTTATTAATTTTTTGCCTCTAACGTAATTTAAATAATAACTTTTTTTCAAGTTCTCAATAATACGATTTTGAAAAATTTATTACCTTTAAGTTTATATACTTTATTTTAAAATCTAATTTTAAAATGAGTGAGAATATAAAAGTGTTTTTTCCATTTCAAATATTTCAAGCTGAAAATTTGTATTCTTGTTAACGCAAGAAAAAGCAAAAACTGCAGTGAAATAAACGAAATGGATGAGATATTCTCGAAATAGAACTCAACGTACCTGATGAATGGCTGAAATTTATTGTCAGGAAGTTAAATTATTTTATTTAAATTTATTTTTGTTTCTTTTTTTTGATAAAAAGCCTGATATTACATCAAAATGTTGGTATTTTCATTATTTAAAAAAATTGTTTTACAAATAATGTTTTATTTTTGGAATATTGTAATGTAGGCCTATATAATTTATTCAACACTGTTGTGTCATGCTATGTTAAATATAGACGATAACTTTCAAACATAGACTAACAATACGTTACAGATTTTTTTAATTAGTACGCACCTCATTACAGCAGTGCAGATCAATAAACCAACAATAATTCAAAACAGAAAGGGATGTGAACGCAGGACGCACACACACATGCACACACAATCACACGCACACACACACGCAAACGCATACACACAGCACACCCACACAGATTGATACAAACAAAAACACAATGCACCCACCACACACACACATGTCCAAGTAAGCAAATGATAAATACGCACTTCAGCACATAAACAAATCTTCGCTATAACCGATTGCTTTCCTTAATATCGCCTATTAGATTAGACATAAGTTCCACATATAAATTGCTAACCATCTATCTTGCTTCTTTCAATGAAAAGTGATTCCAAACAAAGAACACTAACATTAACAAATAAACAACAAAAACTCACAGTGAAGAAATTGGAATAAATGGGAAAGCTAAAATTCTGAAAAAAAATTTAAATGAAAAAATTAATTCACCAGCAAATCTTCAACGAACACGCACCGAAATAATTATTTATGAAACACGAGGAGAAAAAAAAAGCATATTCAATACACACGCGCACCAAACCCAAACATGCAAAAACAAATTTCAAGGTTGTAGGGAAATACAAAACAAAATGTCATCAATATAAAAAAAAACATTGTATCAGTCTGCCACATACAATCTTCGCAAGTTTTGAAAGCCTGTAAACAATTGATCAAACTTTTTTTTTCAATGTTTTTAATTTAATGATTAAAACTACGTTTATTTTGTTGTTATTTTTATCGCTTCGCAAATTTTACCGCAAGGGCTTGGCACAGGACTAAAGTACACCGAGAAGAATTTAATTAATTGATATTCTTATGTGTGGATATATTTCACAATTGTGAACAACAATGCGGACAATATATCTTCGCATCTCTTTCTTAATATGTTTCTATGTAATGAAAGTTTGAAACACACACACGCACACGCACACTTAAACACACACACACACACACGCGCGCGCGCGCACACAAACACACACACACATACTCAGTCACACGCACAAACTCGAACAGATGTGTCATGAAAGACATAAACACATACATACATGCCCAAAAGCATTGTGTTTATTATATTAACAAGATTCACCAGAATAAATGCACCTGTGTAACATTTATATCACACATAAACACACACAAACAAACAAACACACCACACAAACACACACACACACCACACACACATACATACATTACAAAATATAGATAACTTATGTTTGCATACATTTATTAAGATCAACATAAAGCATACATGCATGCATACGGAATGCGATAATTTTCTAGGATTCATTTTGTTTATTACGTTATTATAATCATCGTCATATTTATTTTTAACTTTCTCATTAATCTTTGTTATTAATCACCATCGTCATCATATCATCTCTCTCTTTTTCTCTCCCTCTTTCTTTCTCTCTCTCTTTCACTCTCTCACTCTCTCTTATCACCATCATCATTATTGTCAATATTTTATTGTCATCATTCACGTTGTCTCCATCATCATCATCATCATTTTTGTCATCATCATCTTTATTATTTTTATTTTCTTCATTTCCCTCGTCATCATTATGAAAGCATCATCTTCCTCATTGTCGTCGTCTTCATCTTCTTATTCATCCTCATCATCTTCGTCATCTTCATTTTTATCATCTTCACTATCATCTTCATTTTTACCATCATAATCTTTATCATCATCTTCATCCTTATCAACTTAATCTTCATTATTTTTAACATCATCATCTTCCTCGCCATCTTCTTTACCATCATTGTCTTCATTGTCATTATCATCACTATCTTCATCATTTTCACCATCATCAGCTTCACCATCATCTTCATCATCTTCTCCGTCGTCATCGTCTCTATCATCATCTTCATCATCTTCACCATTATTATCTATATCATCATCTTCGCCATCACCAGCATCATCTTCATCCTCATCTTCATCATCATCACTTTTGCCATCATCTTCATCTGTGCCATCATCATCTTCATCATCGTCATCATCATCTTCATCATCGTCATCTTCATCTTCATCATCATCACTTTTGCCATCATCTTCATCTGTGCCATCATCATCTTCATCATCGTCATCTTCATCATTTGTTGGCCGCTCTTGAGTGGCGCTGAGTCGCCTTGCATTTTCATATATGCTATGCATTCGTTCATTCAGTCAGTCAGTCAGGCAGGCAGTCAGTGTTGTGGCAGTTTCTGTGCAGTTGTCGGGAATTTCTTTGTGAAATTCATCATCTTCCGTTCGATTCTTTCTTTTGTATCGTTGCATATAATAAATTTTTTTAATCTAAATTATCAAATTAACCATTTATGAATAATTATTGTTAATTTAGTTATTATTACCAACATATTTAATGATTAATTTGTCATCTACATAACAAAAAGAAATTTAACAACACTAATTGTGAATATAAACAAGTCAAAGCGTAGCGCTTTAAAAAAAATTTTTCCAATGTTAATTTCTCATTAAGCAAAATTATATAGATAAAAAACCATTGGAATAGCACAGGCGCCTCGTGACTTTGAAATAAGCAAGAAAGAAAGAAAAAAAGTTTGTCTACATTTTTTGAAATATCTTCAAGTATTGCTGTGAAATTATAAATCAAAGGTGAAGAATAAATATATGAATAAAACAACCAACATATTATACAACGTATTACATACAATATTAACTGTTTTGTATTACGTATATTGTTATAGCAATGTTAATACAATTATGCGTTGTTTACAACAACGACGTATTCTATACAATATTAACTGTTTTGTATTACGTATATTGTTATAGCAATGTTAATACAATTATGCGTTGTTTACAACAACGACGTATTCTATACAATATTAACTGTTTTGTATTACGTATATTGTTATAGCAATGTTAATACAATTATGTGTTGTATACATTATCATACAAAATATTAACATTTGTATGTTATACTTCTACAAATGTTTATATCAAATGATTTTTTTTATGTGATAAGATGTGATGCAAGTAAAAGGATGGTAGATATTTGCCTTTGTTTTTAGCCGGCTGCATGGATGTTTGTGTGTTTGTGTGTGTGTGTGTGTGTTTATTTATGTGTGTGTGTGCTTGTGTGCGTCTGTAGTAACTATCATCTAATAGCATAATCTTGTTTGTAGTTGAGTGATTTATATTAACTGGCTTATTTGATATTATTATTTGCACTATTGTTGTTGTTGTTGTTGTAGTTGTTGCCATTGTTACTGTCGTTGTGATTATTTTTTTATATTTTTATTGTTATTCGTTTGTTCTTTTTTTAGAATCACTTTTTCAAATATATATATAACGAAATTTCTAGACATCGTTTGAGAATTTATTTGGAAACCAAATCTTAAACTAACATAAACGGCTGTCTTTTTTGGTTTAATTTTAAAGTTATTTAATAAAATTTCAAGCTGTAGTTAGTTATGTTTAATTACTATTAAACTAAAACTTGTTAATAATCAGGAAAACAACGACAAAAAATAACAAAATAATTGGATAACTGACGCTCTAGAAAGCGTTTCTATTTTCGAACCTAATAAATTTGATATTAAACCAAATCATAATTCCAAATTTTTTGTTTGACTTCATAAAAAGTTTTTTTTTACAGTTAATTATCTTCTGTACGTCATTATGATTTGCTGGAAAGGTAGGCCATTTTGTTCATATTAACGTTATAAAATTTTCATAAAATTTCGCAATTAATAAATCAAGAATAGAATTTTTTTTATAATATTGTTGCTAAGAACAAACAAGCAAACGAACAAACAAACAAACATAGCCTGAATACTAATTGGATTACTGAATTAACATTACGCACACGTTCATTTGGAAGAGTAAATTTTATAAAAAGAAAAAACAAAAAAGAAAAACACAAAAAAACAACCATCAATTCAAACAACAAGACCACGCGTCTATAAATTTTTTTTCACAATATTGGAAATAATTAAAATATCAAGAAACTCGTGCGTGTGTAGATTAAAAATTTACACGAATAACTCCAGGAAAGATGTTGATGTCTTGTTTACGAATTAGCGTGTGAATTTCGCCAGAGCTTTCTTCGTTCGTTTGTTCGTTTGTTTGTGGTTGGATGAACATGCAGATTACAAACATCGTTTGAAAACAATTCATTTGTTACCTATCTTCACCCATTATTGGATATTTTAAAAGTTTTTTTCCAAAAAAAAATTTTAGGAAAAATGTATTTATCCATCATTTCATTTAAACTTACTATTCAAACAAAATCAAATTAAATATAAAAGTTCGTTTTTCTAGATTCAATTTAGTAGGTTACAAATTATTCTTTCTCAGAAATTTGGCAGTTTGATACATTAATGCGGTTCGTTAAATGGAAACAGATGTCTGGAAGAACACGCCAAAAGTTATTTCCTTATGATACAGTTTATTCACACGCACAGATACAATCACAACACACACACACACACACACACACACACACACACACACATACACACACACATTCAATCCTACACATATACAGACACACATTCATTCTCACATAAACATACTCACGTACACACACTCACATACATATTTACTCAATTTTTATTCATGTGAGCTATTGTGTTTCGTGCTTTGATCAATGACTTTTTTTGTTATATTTCCTGAATTTTTTTATAGCGTGTTTTGTTTTACAGCCCACGGCCTTATATCATTTTTTGCTTCAGTGTAAGTTTTTTTTTTCAAATTTTAATTCGGTTGTTAATGGGTTGTATTTGTATTTTAAAGAAGTTGTTGCTCACGTGGTCTGTTGTCTATTCGCGTAACATGTTTTTTTAAGTTGTTGGTAATGTTTTTGTTAATGTTTTTGTTAGTGTTGTTGTTGTTAATGTTGTTGTTAGTGATGTTGTGACATCAATTCATATTCTCGCAGTAGCTATGATTTATATTTTTTTTGTTGAAATTGTACTGTAAATTTCGTATGTTTATCAATGGAGACTGCTTTTATAATAATATGGTTGTTGGATGATACTGTTATAGGATATATTGTAAATATTGACAGCTCAGCCAAAACATCCCTAGTTACACTCATAGCGAATTTATTTGATTCAAATTTTAAATATCTCAGTTTTTTTTTAGTTTTTTGGTTTTTGTTGTTGATGTTGTTTTTGCTGTTGTCGTTGTGGTTGTTGTTTTGTTGTTGTCATTGATATGGTACATGTAGTTGTCAATTCTAAATACAATTTATTGACCTGTTATTTGCTCCCATGTTCGCACCGCACAGATGAGTATGCCTGAAACGTTCCTTGCAAATATTTCAAGACTCTTTCGTGTTTGTGGCAATCGGTTGGTCACTTTTTTTTGAAAATTGACAATTTTTTCTTGTTTACTTCACACACACACCCAAAGAAACACAAAAAATACAATGTTTTACAAACTTTTCCAAACGTGTTACTAAGTTTTAACTGGGTAAAATCATTCAGGGTTAACCAGACAAACAAATCAAATTTTTAAGACAAAAAATATTATGACATAAACAAATATCCAATAAACAAACAAACAAAAAACACCAAAACAAAAAAACAAAAAAAACTCCAATTCCAAAAAACAGCAAGAGGAAGCCAGCAAATCATAGAAAGCCCTAATCCCTGTTGAATTATTTAAACGCGCTGGTCTATTTAAAATTTCTCACAAAAACATTTTACATTATTACATCTTGCATCCTAAATATTGTTTTTTTTAGGAATATATTTGAAAAAATTAAAAACATGAAAAGCATGCAGACATTGAATGACACATACGTGCACATGCGTACGTCAGTCTAAAATCTTCTTGAAAATTTTTTTTTAATTATATTGATAGGTGAATTTAAATTTAAACACCAACTTAGTGATTGGTGGAGATGGATTTAAGAATTTTTTTTCTTTTGTGAGATGATTATGTAGAAAAAAATTTGAATCCTCACAAAATTTCATTAAAACAACAACAACAACAACAAACAAAAACATAAACCATCAAACACTGAACACAGAATCTCGTAAATCGAAAAAAACAACAACCGAAAAATACCCCCAAACAACAAAACAATGAAAGTAAAAAAATAACCAAAAAATGAAGCAAAACTGACAAGTGAGCTACAACACAAAAACCATAATAAAGAAAAGCAACAAAAAAAGTCATAAAACAATAAACCAGTGACGTCACGACGAACTCACTCACACGCTCAAATACACACAAAGACACACAGAAAAAGAGAAAGAGAAAGAGAGAGAGAGAGAGAGAGAGAGAGAGAGTGAGAGAGAAAGGCACCACCACGCAGTCAGCCAGCAGCATGGTCGGCAAACCATGTTAGTCTGGGAGTAATTATTCGCAAATAAATTTCCTCTGAACTTCAACTGTACATATGTCCTAATCATTCCTAGAACGTGACGACATTCAAGATGGCGCTCAACAGGACAACGGTGACGTCAGTGTAAATATATGTGTATATATTATATATATATATATGTATGTATTATATATATATATATATATATATATATACATACGTATATATAAATATACATCTACTTACACACGCAATGTATATGTATGACAATGCCGTGAGTATGAATATATGTTTTTTGTATTTTTTCAATACAATGTGCGCGTGTACATACAAAGGTACATTAAAAAAATGTTTAAGAAGTATGGGTGAAAATAGTTGATCTGCCATCAGATACATCGACCTGTATGAGTAGGTAACTTGTAATTATAACTATAAAAGTATGTTTATATGTGTGTATGTGTGTGTCTGTGTGAGTATGCGATATACATATGCATGTGTAGTTATGCGTATCTTTAAAATATTTGCATGTAACAATTTTTCATCTAGCTAAAATTTATGAAGCGTTCATATAACTCTGATTTCGATTTAATGTAAAATAGAACTGAAAATTGAAATAAATAATTAATATAAATAAGAAAGTTAGAAGAAGACAATCAATTATTTTTGAAGATCGCAGATGTTTGCGAAAGTTTTTGTACGCTTAGTAGTGTTAACTTTTCATTTCCTTTGTAGTTAGGCTTGGCAGTCCAACAAATCATCTTTATTTACTTGAGTTATTTCCTCTTTCGCATTTGTTTTAATTAATTTTTTGTTGATAAAAAACATCTCTACCATGCTCATCTTTGATAAACATCACATAGAGACGATACAGTTGGTCCTTTCTTTTATTTACGATAATAATAATAAATCAAACTAATGTAATCTTGATATGAATGAATCACCAAAATGAATTTATGGTGTCGATTAAATACATATTAAAATATACTAACTTAAACACTAGAAAAACATTAAAAACTGATTCATTTAGCGCGTGTGTGTAGGTAGGTGTGATTAAAAGTTTGAAATTTTTTAGAAGATATAACCAGGAAAACAGAGTCATATGTACTTAAATTTATTAAAAACTTTTGTAAAAAAAATTTACAGTCTCAAATTTTTTTCCAACCATATTCACAAACAATAGTTTCATTTGAAATCCCCATAATTTAAATTTTAAATATTCTCAAATAATATTATATATTGTGAAAATAAGTTATAATTGACTTAGAAAAAAAAAATAAAATTAATTAATTTTCATTTGACCGTGCTGACCATGATGACCACGTAGCCATGTTGTCGCAGACTCGCTCCAATTTCCGTTTTGGTTTTCGTTCGTTTTGTGGCCATCCATCAAAATTAATCGTCTTGTCAGAATTGTGGCCTCAAAGCATGCTACGAAAAAAAAATACATGATGATCGTGATGATGGTGAAGATTATGATGAAGGTGACGCTGGTGATGATGATTGTGATGATGGTGATGATGATTGGGATGATGGTGATGACGATGAGAATAATGACGATGTTAATGAAGATGATCATGATTTTGGTACATAATCAAAACTGTTTTTTAAACATTTAATTACTACACATTCCTATAAATGAATAAACTTGGGAAGAAAATTATTTTTCAGTTATATAATGTACGATTCATATCTAGGGTATCTTGTGGTTCATGTACTTATATAAGTGTATATGTGCTAATGGGGTATTGGTATTGGTGCGGTATTTCTTTATATTCCTGAAGAGTTTTGTAAAAATTTTGACAGAGTAATTTTTAACATTGATGGATTGGAGTCTGTTAATTTGACTTGCATAAGCCCAATCTTTCTGTTTGTTTGTTTGCATCGGTGCTTGCTCTAGTACATAGTAACGCGTTTTCTTTTTTGTATCCTTGCGTGTTTTTGTTTGGTTTTTCTATATATGTTTACGTGTTTGTATTTTGTTTCTTCTGCATTTTCATGTGTATATTTGAAGTTTCGTAGTGATCACATACATGGGATGAAGATTTAATTAGAAGTAAATATTCAAAAACTGTTGGAAATGTCTATACGTTTTTAATCAAAATTGAAAAAAAAGATTTTACTTTAATTGTAAATTTATTTTTGCAATCGCTGGCGTACATTTTTGAAGTTTGTTAAATTTTTTTAGCTGTGTGTTGAAAAACTAATTATAAAGACGTTTGATGGAATTTTTAGGATAGTTTGGGAGTTTTTAATTACGAACTTTTATAACATTTTTATACAAGTTCTCAAATTTGTAATGATAATAATAAAAATTAATAATATTAAAAACATATAATCTTGTCCAAATAATAATTCTTTTTCATTTGAAATAGCGATGTATTATAATTATTTTTCATTCTTTGCAGATGTCCAGAGATCAGGTCTTAAATGATCTATATGCCATGGTGCCAGCCAATTAGGAACCAATAACTACCATTCTCACGCACGCACGCACGCACACACACACTCACGCACACACAAACGCACATACACAAACACACACACACAAAGATGTATAGTTATACTTATATTAGTATATAAATATTTATAAGCGTTTTAGTTTATTTAAATTGGTTTTTTAAATTTTTTTATTCACATAAATTATAAAATATTTGCTACATATTATTGTAAAATTGAATAATAATTAAGCTTATTTCTTTAATCAGTTAAACAAGAAGTAATATATAATAATAGGGGTACAATAAGTTTTAGCTCAGCTTAAATTTTTTTATTACATACACAAAAATTATTTTCACTGTTGCAACATCTGTCATCTACTGACACTTACTACGTCGTCATAGCTATCGTAACATCTTACAATGAAGACTCCAAACTCAAAATTTTCAACAGCAACCCAGTTCTTCTCACTAAACCTCACGACATCATCGCATATCGGCCCAACCACTATCGCCAATTTGGCCAAAATCCTCGTCAACATCATCATAATCATCGCACCTTTCATTCAGTCAGAAATCCTCCAAAACCAACTATCACCGTCTGTAATTGAGACTAAGAATGGAAAAATTAAAGGACTTCTCTTGACTCTAACCGACAAATCCTTGGGACAGGTTGAAGTTTACTACGGCATTCAATACGCTTCGCTGTCGGGCAGCCAGTTGCGATTCTTGCCACCAACAGTCTCGAATGTCAGGTGGGATAACATCAAACCTCATGTCTCGATTCAGCCAGTCTGTCCGCAGAATCTGCCAGACATCAAAACTTCAGATGAGACTGTCTCGAGAGAGAGGGCCGAACACTTAATGAGGTTGGTTTGTCGTTGGCTGGTTTTATCTGCTCTGTTTGTCGTCTAAAATGAAGAAATTTTGTCTAGTTTTTTAATTTACTTTTCTAATTTCATTCAATTAAAAATTATTCTACTCTGAATAAGTCATATAATAAATGATATAGAAAGACTTTAGTTAAATAACAAGTAGGTAGTGAGGTTCTGAAGATGTTATAAAGCCGATATTAAGGTTACAAAAGTTATGCAGTCGGTAGGTAAGCTTCATGTTATTTGATTACAATGTATACATTTTGTTATTTTTAGTTTTATTTCACTTAAAATATTTTCAATTACTATAAATAGCAGAAAAATACTTTAAAAAAATTTCGGGCAACTATTAAGAGGGCAATTATTAATTTTTCGGTAAATTTTGAAACATCATCCGCGTCAGATTAACTGAAAAAGTGTTTCATTATACATGTTGTCGAGAGAAAAACACAGATGCATAATTCAATAGCTCATTAGACATTAACTTTTCTTTCTGCAACCATGAAAAAAGACTTATATTTTTATATTATTTTCTAGTATTTTCTTTCATAAACACAAAATAGAATTCTGCCTCATTTGAAAAATCAAGCCGAAGACTGTCTATATCTCAATGTGTACGTGCCTGTTGGAGGTTAGAGAATTTTTTTCTTCCTTTCCCTGTTTTCCCACTTTTTGTGGTGTTCAGCACTACAATTTATACCGCTAGCATTTTATGTTTGGTTCTACTTTTAAATTATTTTTTTTTTCAGTTTTTTTTGTGAAGAATATCGTTATGGCTTGGTTGAAAAATAATTTTTGAATCATGTGCATTACTGAATACTCTTTCATTGAACGAAAACTGCGCCACGTTTTTATGATATATTGTTTTCAACATTTGCGAATTGTTTTGTCTTTGAATTTTTGTTTGGTATGATGTTTTGGTTTTGTTACTTCAATAGTTATTATTGAACGCCGAGACTGTGCAAGTTGCATGGAACTGCCCATTAACAATTTTACAACGCATTTTTTTATCATTCACCTGAAAATTTTTCAAAAACGCCATTGTTAAGAAAACAAAAATCGTCGTTAAAATCATAAATCAAAAACTTAAACCGACGAGAACAACTCATCAAAGAATATTTATGAGTAAACAAAGAAAAAATATTGAAAAATAGGCAGCGAGATGAGTATAAAAAAGAAAATTGATAGACACGAAACAGAAAAAAAAACAAGAAAGAAGTGAGAAAAACAGGAAACAACATCTATACAAAAATAAAAAATCATGTGCAACATTGTAGGAAAAATATGGGAAAATTGAGATTTACCAGGAAGGCTTATGCATATTTCAAGGAAACTATAAAAGCTAATAAAACTTAAGATGCGAATTTTCACGGGCAAGCTTACAAATTTTAAGAATATTTTCTGACAGTTATAGTTTTTAGCTATGAATTTATAATAACTAAAAAACTAATGAAATTCAAACATGAAAATTCTTTTAAAACTGTTTAAAAGATTTTCGGAATGTTGTTTTCCCTTTTTTCCTCTTCAGCGTTGTTGAACACTACTTGTAGTAGCATCAAATAAAAGGTAATTGCTTAAAACAGCAAACCTTGCAACACCATACAAACATACATGTTTGCACGAATACATACATGCTAGCAAGCATTCATACAAACTAATGGCGATACAAACAAATAACAAGATGACATACACACAAATAAGCACGCATAAGTAGAAAAAACATATTTGCATAGAGTGCCAGGCGGTTTTTGAATGACACGATCATAAATCATAACTCGGCGGATCGACATCTGCATTTTACCAGCACCTTTCTGCGCCCGTTATCAGAACTATGATTGTCGTCCATATCCTCATTTTATGGCGATCCCCATTATCGTCGTCGTATTCGTCTTCACCACTGTCATCATTGATGTCATGGTCATCCAGGTCATTAGCAGCATCATTATCATCAATATCATGATGACTTTTAATGACTTCTTCGAATTCGGAAATGCTGTGCAGTCAAAGTTCACTCGACATTCTCCTCTGCTCGATACACCACCTGCAAGAATAACACTGCTTGGTGGAAGTTTAAAACATACCGGTCCCGAAATCTGGGAGAAACTTCCTGTTGATATAAAGACTACAAATTCATTGCATCTGTTTAAAAACAAAATAAAGAAATATTTATTGAAAAAAAGTACAATTTTTATTTAATTGGAATCATGTAAATTGTACATTATGTTAATTTTGTCATGAATTATAAATTTACTTAGAAATTGTGTTAGAATGAACAATTTGTGAACGGCGGCCTGCGACACAAGAATTTTGTTTTCTTTTAGCTTTGGTCTCCTAATCATTACCTAATTATCATTAATTTGGATTGATTGAATAAAATTTGATTTGATTTGATTTGATCATCGTCGTCGTCGTCGTCTTCATCATCAGCCCTACTGTTACAAGCACCTCAGCTATATTAGAGCGATCTGCATGACAAATCTGTGGTGCAATTACAGCTGTTATCTTCTGCGCTGCAACGTATGTCTTCTTATTCTTCTTCTTTTTCTTCTTCATCATCATCGTCATCATCTCATTCCACATTATCATCATTATTACCATCATCGTCGCCACCATCATCGTCATCATCACTTTTTTTCATATTTAAATATTTTATTTGCTTTCACTGTTATGTAATAGTTATAAATTAATTTTTTCTCATTGCTGTTATAAAAAAAAGAAAATTGTTTATAAGATGTCATTCTTTTGATCACGCATAATGCCAACTTCCATCATTTTTCTCTGGTTGTATTGACATGGTTGACTCTGTATCGCTTCTGGTTAACTCATTCATCACGATGTCAACATTTTTTAAAATGCTCAAATATATTTTCTCCAGAGGGATGGTGTAGCGGTAAACTATGTGGATTAAAAACCACAAAACATGCAAACAAATTTTTTCACATACAAACTTTTCCCATAAACACATACACCACAAACAAATCATTTCATACACAAATGATAACAAACGCACGCACACACACACGCGCGCGCATATTTATATATACACACACATACACGCACACACACATTCCGCACACTCACGCACACTTATATACACACTCGTATACAAACACGTCAAGTAGTAGCATGCGTGTTTGCATGTGATAAATCGTTCAATTTAGTAGGAAGGCACATCACTAATACCAGCCCATCCCTGGCCTTCACGTCTCTTCTGACGTCATGGTCGCAGCGAAGATTAATAAATGCATACCTTACGTTTCTTAAATGCATGCGCGCATTTGCATGTGCGTGTGTGTGTATTTGTGTACGTGTTTTTATATATGTGTGTGTGTGTGCGTGTATCTTCGAGTGTGCGTGTATGTGTGAGGGGTGTGTTATAACTGAATTAGTGTCTCTGAAAAACGTGCTATGTTTTAATTTACTTCAGTTAATGCGATGTTATTTATAAAAGTTAACACGTCAAAATGGAAAAAAAATTCTTCAAAATTTTGTCCAAAACGTAGTGAGCAGATTTTTTCTCAAAAATGCTATCTTGACGCATGCGTTTCATGTGCTCTTTGACACGAGTATCCATACTTTTGCATTTCATACTGAAGCGTTTTTGTTAACGCTGAAAAATGAAGTACTGCAAGTGTCGTTAAATTATTATTTTTCCACAAAATTATTCTTTTCAGTATTTGCAGTAGTTTCGGATTGTATCTTTTCTTCATCTATGTTCGATTGATGATGACGCTTCGATGATGACGACGACATGACGACGACGACAACAACGACGATGATGACGCTGTGACGATGATGATGACGACGACGATGACATGAGACCTTAAAAAATTCCCATTCCTTTTTTTCGTAGCCTAATCTCCTCTAGCAAGTTTTTTTCATTATGGATATTTTCATTCCTGACAAATTTTGGAGTCATCTTTTAAAAATTATTTGACTCATTTCTGCTTTCTCCTTTTAAAAAAATTCACATTTTCGAAGAAATAAATTTTTCATGATGCCTTCGTACATACTAGTGAAATAGTTTAATTAATGTTAATGTAATTTAAAGTTGATTATTTATATGAGTGAATACAACAAGATGAACATGACTCTGATTTGTTATTTTATTAGCATTATTATCAATGAATTTCGGCTTTTGTCCTTGCAATTTTTGAACACATTTTTTGAATATCTTCTAACACCAACTGCAAATTATTTTCCAGCCAGCCCTTATAAAATTGAAAACATTTGAAACATGAATAATACTATTATTTTAATGTCATTTTAATGAAAAATTTCATAGCATTCTAGCAAACAAGACAACGAAAAAATAAAAATTTTATTTTGTTAGGACTGTTACAAACAGGGCTGTAACTGTTAGTTACTGTTAAAACACGAATATAACGAAGGTGCACAGCACATACTAAAAAATACTGATTTATTTGTAAGTTCATTCATCGTCATCGAAATTATCTGAGATGCATACTTCAGATTTTGTAAAATATCATCTGAAAAAACACATTTAGGCCTACTTACAATCAAATCACTTGTGTTAGTTGATTGCGGTTGAAAGCGACATAATTGCATTTAAATTTGCACTTAGGCAAATGAATCCGCCCTTCTAAGACTGGAGGAACAAATAGTGGATGTACATTTAGCAGATGAGGAGGGTTCTCGTTTAACACGTTTGTCTTCCGCGGCATGATGGATGTCTTCTTACGTGGGTCTTTACGTTTTGAAATGAGGTTTTTTTGTTCTTTTTACGCTATACTGATTGTTTTTCAGTTGCGCGTGTTTGAAACTCTTCATGTGCGTGATGTGAGGCTTGTATCTATGGTTATTTGTTTTTATGTCAGACTAAAATTGGTTTATAAAAGAAATTTGTTATATTTTTATTTCTCGTACTAACGTTTTTGGCAGTTTTAAAAATTAAAATTACTGGTAAATAAATTAAACAGCACACATCGACGAACACGATTGATATTGGCGTTGTAATTTTTTTGCAAAAGATATGCAGAATCCCAAACAACAAACAAATTTTAATTAGACAACAAAACAAAAACATTAACAACGACAGCAAAAAATAAATTCCGAACATAAAATGTAAAATAAAAAAAAACCAAGAAAAGGAGAAGGGCAGAAGAGAAATCAGAACAACGACACTATTCCATTTGCAATTGCATTTACAAGATGCACAAGGGCATTCATACTTTTTTAAAGGTTTTTTATCCTTTTGTCCCAACTCCCTTGTCTGAGAAACTTTCATTTGCGTTGAAAAACTTGAGAGGAGGTGTGCGCGATTAAATGCACACACGCACACATCTCAAAACTCAATTACTGGACGGGCACAGGACAAAACCAGCACAGAACACCTCATCACATACACACGCACACGTTTAGAACAACAACCTTCGCTGCGCAAAACACACATACGCACACACTCATGCCTTTAAATAAACATTTTAAAACCAGAAACCAACATACACACGACGCGTTCAGTTCAATCAGATTTTACATCAGAGTTTAATTTTGAAAAGCTTCTCTTCAAATCTACAGAGCTGAACTCCAATTAAATGATGACTCGATTTCGAAATTGTGATTCGGCTTTCTGGATACATGTTTGATAAAATGTTTTACATGAAAAACTGAAA